AGATGACCATAACCCTAAAGTTAATTCGATAAAATATATATTATAAGAATCTACTCCGCTTTAGACGTCCCCCAAAATAGGGTGTGGAAATATCAATTCCCTAATTAAATATACAGTATTTATCATATTATAGTTACAGTAATAAAAAATATATATTCATTCTTTTACCAGTAAAGAGTGAATAAATACCATTTCTCTAATAAATCCTGGACATTAGTAGAATAATAACCGTCGATTTTGGATGTAAAATGATACTTAAAGTGAAATTCTGGTTCTGGCTCTGGTGAAATTGCATCAGAAATGTTTGAGGAATATTCTTCAGAAGAAACTATTGAATTTGAGTGTTCAAGGGGAGAGGAAATTTCCGACATGTTTGAACCCAAAATTTCTATTTATCATCAGATAAGATAAGACCATATCGGTAATTAATAATTAATGCTACTTTGGCTGAATTTTATTGGCCTGCATTACTAGCATATTCGTAACAGATAATTACTATTCGACGTATCATATCTGATACCTGATACGTAAATTCGTACGTACGTACGTACCGTACGAATTCCGCACAAGTGTCAAGACACTAAACTAACAATATCCAAACTGTTCCACATAGTATTTGTGCAAAGTTATGAGTGAGTTTGTGCAAAGTTGCGCGCATAACAAATAGAGTACCGATCTGTGAAAAAAAATTACGTAAATAATCGAAATGGCTTTATTATGGGTATTAATATCTTGGCGGATTGAACTTTGACCAACTTTATAGATAATATGATTTTGAATTTTAATCTAATATAATATATTGTAAAAAGTATTAGGCTTGAGATTTGAATAAAAAAGGATCTGAAAAAAAAAAAGGTCCAATTTTTCCAATCCTCCATAATCGTATATGCGCATATATGATATACATACGTATTTACATATATTTTTAGAATTTTTGCATGATCATTATCTAATTTTAGAAACTGTTGCAATTTTACAATTTAATTCCCTAAATAAATATATCTAAATTGGAGTTAGGCCATTTTTCCCAATTTGCCAAGCTAGTAAATTACATAAAAACGCAGTATTTCATTTATTTTCTCCTGTATTTGGACATGCAGTGTCACTTACACGATATAAATCTAAAAAAGTTAACGTGTAATATCGATATTGTTGCGTAGAAGAATAGCAACGGCTGTGTGAATTATTATGATACTAGAAAGCCTATACGGGAAGCCCGAATCCAAAAAAACTTGTCAAAAATGTTGGCTATGGTGTGTCAAATCAAGAATATTGTGAAAAGTAAATTAAATCTTACGCTGCGGGCCGAAGCCGACCGGCAAAAAATCTTTTCATGCCCATGCAGGCCCCTAGTGACACCAAAAAACAAAGCCAAAACGAAAAAGTGATAAAAGCTAAAATTTTTTTGCAGATGAAACTACTTGGGATTCTGTCCTTTATGCATCTCCTTTTTTATATCAAAAAAAACTATAAAAGTCCTTTGACCATTTTATTCTAAACAAAAAAAAATTCATTAAAGATATTTTTAAAAGATGGCTGTTTCTAGTTCGATTTTTAAATGGAAATACTTAATCGTATTAATAATCTTTGCTGCTTTAATTACGATTTGTAATGGTTCTCACCACGTGATTCGAAAGCGACAAGCTACTGCTAAAAGTCCAGCTCAAGCTCCAGCTCAATCTCCAGCTCAAGCTCCAGCTAACTCTCCAGCTCAAGCACCAGCTAACTCTCCAGCTAACTCTCCAAATCAAGCTCAAACACCAGCTCAAGCACCAGCTAACTCTCCAGCTAACTCTCCAAATCAAGCTCAAACACCAGCACAGCAAGCTCCAGGGGCTCAAACACCAGCACCGCAAGCTCAGTCACCTCAAGCACCATCATCGCAAGCTCAGTCACCTCAAGCACCAGCACCGCAAGCTCCACAATCGGCTCAATCACCACAAGCTCCATCTCCGCAAGCACCAACAGGAGCCGCACAATCACCAGCTCAACCAGCACAGCCGACTCAACCACCAGTTCAGTCACAACAAAATCCACCATCTCAACCACAAGGAGGTACTCCCCAATCTCCAACTGCAAACGGTAATGGTCCAAAAACTACGTCATTATCGTTTGGAGTTAGCGATATTTCTAAAATTAATTCTTGTACTGACATATTAAAATGTTCAAAAGAAAACGTTGGGACTACTGACACACCTATATCTTCAACACCAGTTCCAAAAGTGACCAGTGAAACAACTACTACCCGTGATGTTTGTACTGATACTGTTAATTGTCATATTGTTCCAATGACTCCTGGGTAACCTATCTTTACATGCCTTTATTATTTATATTAATCTACTATTTTTATTCTATATTTATTAATATTAATATACTTTATTATTATTATTATTATTATTTAAAAAAAGTCAAACTGCGCAAGTGGTTACGACAACTGCACCACCAGATAACACGGTTTACACTTTACCACCAGCCAACGGAGCTGCAGCCAACCCTAATGCGAAATATACAACAACAACGTTTTTCTCAACGACTCATGAAGTTGTTCCAGGCTATTCTACAACTACCTCAACATTGGGATCTGATGGACAATATACAACTTTCTCTACATATTATCCACCGAGTACGCTCGTTGTAGTAAAACAGGTTACTGGTGTTCAAGAAGCTGATTCATTAAGTACTGATGGAATTGTTGGAGCTGGAAATAGTTTTAATGAAATGAGAGGAACTGGATCTGCACTATTGGGTATTATTATGAGTTTATGGGTGGTCGGAATTTCTTTATATTAAAAAATACAATTTACTTACATCACGAAATACAACTCGAGCTTTGTCTCTCATTAATTTTTGAATTTG